GCTGGATCTCGAACAGCACAGCAGACTGATGTGTTATACATAGGTAGTGAAGTATGTTAAAAAGGGTGAGCCAGTATGGGATGATTATGAAGCATCAGCAATAGAAGAATGATCAATTTTCAGATGACATTTTCTACGCAAGTGCATTCTTTATTGACCAGCTTCTCTCTCATCTTCATGAGTCCTGCTTTGGGACTGACAATTGTTCTTGTCTTCCCCCTAACTGCTTTGGTAAAAGACAAATGATTTTTTATAATTAATTTAGCAAATGTTGATTATGAAACTCTCAGACACCATGTGGCTGACTTTGAAACACACCCAGCACAATAAAACAATTGAGGTCAGTTCTGTCTTGAAGGTGAAATGTAAAGCAGAGTTGAAAAATGCATTTTTCTCTTTAATGTCTTCCATTTAAGATGCATTTAGAACTAATCACAGGGAGGGAAAAAGGTAACTTTTCACAGACAGTCACCTAAGGTAGCCTCTCAAACACTGGAACTGATTGCAGGCCTTACAGCACTGTTCTTCACAGTGAGGCAAGAACTGATGTTTAGAAAATGGGAAGTTGCTCTCTTCTTAATTGTTGGGACAAAAAGAATCCATGTCTCTACATTCATTTGCTGTTCCTCTCAAAGAGCAGGGACTTTGTCCGGAACAGGAGCTGCCACTGTAATGTACTAGCTTTGCTTTTGTACTAGTTCTTCGCCTGGATTGTCTCAACAGCTCCTTCCCTTGAAAGTTATGTTTATACAACTTAAATATTATTAGAAAATGTGTATTTTGGTGAGATGAATAACAACACGAAAAGTGCCAGGCTGCCCTAAAGTAAAAGACCACATATCCCAGATTTGTCTATAGTAATGACTGGATGCTAAAGGTTCAGGAGGCTGGACAAGGTATTCCCACCCATAATGCATGAAGGTGGAATCTTTCTAGTCTGTGAAGTTTTATGTTTCTTGCCCTAGATAAAGAAATAAAAAGCTAAACATTTTATAAAGTGTCCTGGTAAACCTCAGATTATCACTAAGCCATCCACGCTACCTTTACCATGTGTTCTGGGCCCTCTGTATCTAGCAGTTAACCTGCTCTCTACTTGCTTCTTCTTCCCATCTATTGACATAATTTTTGCCTTCATCTTAAAATCTCTGCTGCCTGTACCTTTCTTTTCATCCTTTTTCCATGCTATGGTTAAGGGCTGAGCCTCAGCTTCACCTCAATAACAACTTCTATTACAGGATCTTTCACTTTTATCACTCATTGAGTTCCCCAGTGAATGAACTCTCCCTTTCCTCATTTATTCTGGTTTTCTTGACATTTTGATATATTTACTTTTTTCATAAGACAGCTCTTTCTCTACTACCTCATAGTGTCCCTTGTAGTTTTAGACGTACATTCACAACTCCTATAAAGCTCTAATCACCATCTGCCTTTCCATCCTTGATCTTGACTGCACAGAAAAATCATTGTTTGTTCAACCTAAATAACTTCTCCCAGTGGCAACAAGGGTTTTCATTTACTCTCCTCTCAGCTTCTCTGTTTGTTCCAGCGGCCTGACGCATTTCTTATTCGAATTTCTCTGTTCTCTTCCTCTCCCTGGGGTCCTTTTCTTCACAATGTAAGCACTACTCATCGTGTGAAGAAGCAGAGTAATTTGGGCTCCTGTGCTTCCTGGCACAGGACTGCTTCTCAATTGTACTTTAGTTGGTCATGGGTTAGCAACTATGAGAACCAAATAATTCAATTGGTAGGGACTGGTACACAAGAATCTCCTGTCTTCCCATATCCATTTTTCCTGATGCACATTAGCAAAACAATCAGCACCTCCTTTCTTCTTATGCACGTGTCCTGGTTTCAGCCAGGATAGAGCTGGTTTTCTTCACAGAAGCTGGTGTGAGACTGTGCTTTGGATTTGGGATGAGAAACTGTTGATAACATGCTGGTGTTTTGGGTTGCTAAGCAGTCAAGGACAGTCCAGCTTCTTGTGCTGGCCTGCCAGCGAGCAGGCTGGGGGTGCACGGGGAGCTGGGAGGGGACACAGACGGGACAGCTGACCCAGGCTGGCCAAAGGGATATTCCCTACCAGACGACGTCATGCCCAGTACATAAACTGGAGTTGGCCGGGGGGCGGAAATCGCTGCTCGGGGATGGGCTGTCGATCACGGGGTGGTGAGCAATTGCTGTATTGGGCATCACTTGTTCTTGTACATTCCTGTGTTGGTATTATCATTGCTGTTCCCTTCTTTCTTTCTGTCCTATTAAACTGTGTTCATCTCAATCCACGAGGTTTTTTTTTCTAATTCTCTCCCCCGTCCCACTGTAGGAGAGGGAGTGAGTGAGCGGCTGCGTGGTGCTTAGTTGCCAGCTGGGGCTAAACCACGACAGTATGGTAATCGAAAAACCATTACCAGGTAGCACTGCAAGGAGAGAAGGAAGCTGAGGCATCTGCTCCTCCTACACAGTTTAACTGCTACCTCACCTGTTTTTGAACCCACCTTGTTTACTTTTTTATATCCATTCTTAGCTTCCGGGTCTGATGTGTGAATTGTAAGCTTGTTGTGGAAGAACTATTTGTTCAGGTTATTTGTTTGTACAGTGACTTGGACAAAAAGGGCCTGATCATAGTTGGTAAGAAGTAGAGCCAAGTAATGTTTCATTCAAGATTAGATCACAGGTGGATCACATGATACACAGAACAGTCTGATCGTGATCAGTGGTCACTGAAATCCCCAAATCATCACGAGATTTATTAGACCAAACTTCCTAATTCCTTTCTAGAATTGTTCTGAATATGAGTACATCTGTTACTTACTACTGTTTTACAAATAGCACTGGCTATTGCAAGGCATACCACATAAATTACAGAGCAGCTTTCAGGGTTGCTTTCCAGAAAAACTGCTTTGGAACTTCCTGGAGGAGTATTAGCCACTATTTCAATAGAAACAAATCACGAGGGCATATCTTCTAACAGCAAGAGGAGAAGTACTACGAGATGAAATAATGAACTCTGCCTGTAAGCATGGATCATTACTATATGGGTGTCAAGGAAGTAAATATGGAATAATTAGAGGAAACACACAGAATGAAGGTATGATTCAAGGTGTTTAATGATAAACATGTTTAATACCAACACAACATCTAAATCCTAATGCTTGTAACATGGTGCAGTCTCATTTCTCCATCTCACCCTTCTTCAAGCCATGCCCTTCCAAAACTGAAATGCGATATAAAAGATAAGATCTCAGATCTATTGTATTTCTGAAACCAAATATCAGAGCAGGGAAATATCAGGAAAGCAGTCCTGTATCTGTATCCTTGATCTTCCAAGTAGAGGTGTCAGGGTGCCTGTGTGAGCACTGATGAAGAGGCAGCCCTTTACACTGTCCCTCATCGCTAGGCTTCTCACCTTTGTTGCTCTGGAAGCTGACCATTTCTTCAAAAGCTCATGCTTCTCACTATTGGAGTCCCCACTTCCCACATCTTCTGCCTCAGTCCCACATCTTTCCCAAGCCACTCCAGTACCCCTGGTCTTCCCCTCCCTACTATCCACCCCAGAGCTTTGACTTCTTTTACAGCAGAAGCAATCACCTCTACTTCTTCACAAATCTCCCCATACTCAGAGCTCTACTTTTTCCTGCTCCTAAATGCTTTCCCACCCAGGACCCCCAGCTGCTCCCAGCTCCCAGAGCTAAGCTTTCCTTCCCCAAGTCCTCCCAGCCTCCTACACCTCACAGGCCCTCTTTATCTTCCATTTTCCTAACGTGTTCCAGGTTTATATGAGATCTGATTTCTTTTTCATGGAACCATCTCTCTCTAAGATTCCTGTGGGGGAAGCCTAACTACTTATATCCCAACTTTTGCAACATCATTTGAATTTTGGGCAAGTTTCTTTCCTTTTTAAAATGTCCATTCATGGGATGTGACCAAAGGGCAGTAGATGAATGGTAGAGTGCCTTGCAGTGTCTTAAAAGCTTCCCTTTTTCTTTCTCCCATAGCCTGCTTACATTTGAAAGGATCAGCAAAGCTGAGAGCAGCTGGTAAGTAAACAACACTTTGGACTTTAATAGAGGTCCTTAATGTTTCTCGTCTCCCTATCATGCCCCTAGACAAGCATGAAGATGCTGGATTCAGGAAGGAAGCTGGTAGCTGAGAAGCTGTAACTGGAATAGTCAGCAGAGTGACACAGAGCTCAAGTAATCTGCAGCAAAGAAGAGTTACAAGCAGACACCAGGCTAATTTAATCCATGATTCAATTCTATTAGTCCCAATGGATTTACACCACTTGGCTTAAATATAACTTGTGAATGGCAGATAACTTAGGTTAAATGAAAAGGAAAGAAAAGAATGGAACATTTGACAGTGAATCTGGTGAACAATTTCCTCTTTTAAAGGCTCAACACTTCCTTCCATTGATATTTTTCTTACAATAGAGCATCTGCACAGATATAGAGAAATTTTTCTCTCCCCCAGAAGATTTTACAACTGTTTTGTGAGCGAAGCCCCATAGGTTACCGAACAGATGTCCTTACACATTTCTTGTATCACTTGTTT